GCCAGAAAACTCTATGACCTTCATAGCATCTGGCATTTTCAACACCTATCTTCTTGCCTTGATCCCAACTCCAAGGGGCTGCTGTACTTAACTATGACCTTCCAAGGTTTTACACATTTAACCCCCGAAACAACGGAATTTCCTAATCTTGGATGTCTGACATTCTGAATATCAGTACAAAGTACAAATGCCACATGACAAGTTTGCAAATCTACTGATTGAATGTGCAAAGTATGCTTATCCTTAGGTACATTGTTCAGTTCCATCTTTTTCTACCCCAAATAATGGCCAAGTCATGCAGGAAAATGTTGCGTAAATTCGTCTCTTGCGAGGGTGATATGCATTCCTCAGTTGTGTGTTAAGGAGCTAACACATTGCTATTATCATCAGAAACTTATAAAGCTAAACAATCATATTTTATCGAGCATTTCGTTTGCAATATACAGATTTGGGCTTATTAAACACCAGCATTCCCATTAAATGACAGATAGGTGTTTATCCAACTATAGATTCACTGAGATTCCCATTAAACTCGATTAAACTGCACCCAGGGGACTTCTTGGCCCCAAGAGTTCTCATTTTTCTTCTGACTTGTGTTACGTCGTTCCACCTATTCGCAGATGCATATATATTAGCTAGAAGTGTATGAGTGCTAGAATCACTAGACTCGATTTTCATTAGCCACTGGGCAATGCGCTGACCCATATCTACATTGCCATAGTTCCTGCAAGCACTAAGTAAAGAACCATATAGTGGGACGATAATGTTTTTATCTTTATTTGGAATTGTAGCTACAATTTCCTCAGCTTCATTTAATAGTCCAGCTCGGCCAAGAAGGTCTATCATACATCCATAATGCTCAAATTTTGGTTCAATGTGATAGATATTAGTCATAGAATCAAAATATCTACGGCCTTCATCTACTAGCCCTCCATGACTGCAAGCACTCAAAACGCCTATAAAAGTGACATCATCAGGCTGAATCCCAGTTTGCATCATTTCTGAAAACAATTCTAAAGCCTTGGAAGTTCTCCCATTCATGGCAAGCGCACAGATTACTGATGTCCAAGATGCTGTATCTTTCTCTTTCAAACTATGAAAAATCTCCAAGGACTTCTCTAAGCAGCCACATTTTGCATACATTTCTATAAGAGCAGTACCAATTACTCTATCAACTAGTATTCTGTTTTCCACCAAAAAAGTATGAATCCATTCCCCTTGTTCTAAAGCCCCCAACTGAGCACACCCTGTAAGCAACGCAACCAAAGTAAACTTATCTGGTTTAACTCTAGCCATTTGCATTTCCCTAAACAAGGCCATCGCCTCATCAACGCAGTTGAACTGCACATACCCATTAATCATGGCTGTCCAGAGAACAAGATCCCTTGCTGGGCTCCTCTCAAAAAGTGTTCTGGCTTCATCCAGTAAACCACCATTCACATATGCTGATACCATGCTAGTCCAACAAATAACATTTTTTTCCAGCATAGCATCAAAAATTCCCCTGGCCACATCCAAGCAGCCGCACTTAGCATACATATCCAACAACGCATTTCCAATTATCATCGTGAACCCAATCTCTGTTTTCACATATTCATGAATATCCTTACCAAGATCGAAGTTTTTCAATGCTGTGCAAGCAGATAAAGTACTAGCAATTGTAGCCTCATCCGGCCTTACATTTCCCTCTTTCCTCATCCTCCTATATACATCAACAGCATCCTCAAATCTCTCGCTTTTGACAAGCCCAGAAATCAATACATTCCACGAAACCACGTCTCTTAGAGACAATTCCTCGAACACCTTGCTCAAACACTGCACATATCCCAAACCCCCATACATATCCATAACCGAATTACAAACATAACAATCAAATAACACCCCACTTTTTATAACAAACCCATGAATCCTCTCCCCTCGATCCAGCTTCCCCAACCCTTTAACAGCCTTAAACACGAAAGGGTATGTGTAATTATCAGGCCACAACCCACGCAAACGCAATTCATCAAATAAGAAAATTGTTCTCTCATTACAACCCTTTTTCGCATACGCTTTGATCATAACATTATAAATGAATAAGCTCGGGTTCTCGATGTGATAAAAAATTCTCTCGGCGTGGCTCAAGTTCGACGTCGCAGTAGTGAAGGCCATTATCTTATGAAGAACGTCGATGTTCTGGTGGAGTCCATGACAGAAAAGCAGTGCTTGAATTTGTTTCAGATGGGCCATCGATTTGCAGGCCTTGAGGAGATCTATGCATGCTTTCTTGGTAAGCGATGTTGATGTTGCCGCTGTAGTTGAGAACTGAAATGTTTGGATGAAATGGCTGGCAAGTGACAGTAGCAGATATTTGGATCTTGTGAAGGAACGGTGAATACTGATCTGAAGTTTCATCGAGTTGGATCAATAAAAGAGGAACTGCAGGATGCATAGTTTGATTTTATTAAGATAATGACTCCCTCCATGGGGATTGGGGATATTGTAGTTTAAAAGAGGAAAATTTTATTTTCCCTCCCTGATTCCTAATTGGCCTTTATTTGGCCCAACAATTTTTTTTTTTTTTAAAAATCATTATTCTCTAATGTACGTTTGATTGCGAGCAAGAAATTTGTATGAAAAGAAAATAAATTTTACTAAATTCAATTGCCTAGAATTTATTTGTGTGAAATTTATTAATTAAATGTGTTTGATTGATTTAATTTTTAACATAAAAAATATTATACTTGCCTTTTTTTTTTGTGGATAGATAAGAGATAGAAGATAAATGAGAGAAAAAGAGATAGTAAATTCCCCGTAAAATATAATTCTACTCAGTCTAAAGAAAATATGGTCACGTGACCAAAAATAGGAAAATGTTTTCTATAAAAAATAATGTTAATCAAACAATACAAAAGTAGAAATTTGGATTAAAAAAATCTATTTTTAATGAAAAATATTGACAATTAAATGCAAATTTAATTTATTATCAACCATAAACACTAATCAATATTCCATCAATTTTTATCTACTAAAATTTTGATTTTTAATTAAATCAAATAAGGAATTAACCAATTCCTAATAGAAGCTTTGTGTCCACGTTGAATTGATAGTCAAGATATGGTTCTAAATTTCCATAGTTCTCTTTATTATCATAAAAATATCCTATCATACACCTATGAAGATGGTCAGAAATATTGAATTATTAATACATAATTCTTAAGTTTGAAGGCCGGAATGTTTTCAGTGCATTAAAATACTAAGTGCTGTTTTGTGACTATTTTCGGGATGTGGTTAGGGTGGGAAATACATGGAAATGACCTAAACAAAGAGTCATTTTTCCAACATGACATTTGACCAATTTATCAAATTAAAGTACCTAAAATACCCCTCCTTTTGAATATTGCATAATAAGTCACTATAATATAGAAATGTTCCATTTTAATCTTTGAAATTAAATATTACTTAAATTTTTAATAGATTTATTGTTCATAGATTTATTTGATTTTTGTTTGCTCAAAGTAGCATCCCCTAATTGGTATCAGAGCCATAAAGATCATGGAAATTAAAATAAGAAAAATAAATAATTATTGACGTTTAGAAGAAGAAAGAGGAAGTTATATATTTTTAAAATATATTCATAATAAATTAAAAATAATAACATTAACTATAATTAAAGAACTATCCAAAGAAATAAAAGAAAAAATATTAGAAAAATTAATAATAGGTTCAATAAAAAAAATAAATATATATATATGAAAAAATTGTTAAAGTATATGAAGATGAAGAAAGTAATTTATATTATAAAGAGAAGTATGAGTGCAAGTAATAATACAAATTTGAAATTGAATAGATTACTTATAAAAATGAAAAAAATACAAGATATAATGTTAATACCAGAAGGAATAAGAATATCAAATAAAAGACAATTAATAAAATTAAAATGTGAAAGATTAAGATTTGAGAGTAAATATTTTAATATAGTAAAAGAAAAATTAGTAAATATAGATATAGCTAGTAGAAAATTTGGAATAATAATATATAAAAAAGAAGATAACAAATGCTAATTAACTTGTATGTTAGAAATATGATTAGAAAAATCTAATATATCAATAAGTGAACATATGGAAGAATTAAAGTCATTAATAAAAATGTTAATAAATGATGTACGAGATTTAAGAAATGAATTAAAAGAAACAATAAACGATATAAATATATTAAAAATTGAAATTAGAGAAATAATAGAAATCAATAAAAATAAAGAAAAGAAAATAGATAAAGAAAACTAATAGAAAAAGAAATGACCTGAATAGGAAAGAAACATATTGAGAAAGAGAATATAATAATAGAAACAGGAATTATGAATGATGAATTTATATATTATCTAAAATATTAGAAGAAGAAAAAGAATCTAAAAAAAAAATATTAAGAAAATTAAAAGTAGAAGATAAAAATGAATGATGAATTAGATTTATTAGTAGAAAATTTTGATCAATTAAGTTTAAGTGATATAAGTGAATGCCAAATTTTAATGAATACTGGAAGATAACTTAATTTAATATAAACTTCTAAACAAGAATTGCAAGATTCAGATGAATATTATGCACATATATATAATAAATAATATAGACAATTTTATGATAAAGTAAGAGATATACAATCACCTAAAGGAAATAAATATAGAAATAGATTTGAATTAAATGATAATTATGATAAACCAATTAATCATGGAGGAACAAAATTAGATTTAAATTGCAAAATAGATACTAAAAAACCCTTATTAACATGGGCAGATTCAACGATATTATTTTTTTATATAATAAAGATGACATATGAGAAAATACTGAAAGAATAATAGATTTCTTAATAGCATCATTTGAATGAGATGTTAGAAATTGGTGGGAATAAATAAATAATGTTACAAAAATATTAATAAAAAGAAATGTACAAACAGAGATAATAAAATTAGATAGACAAGATATAGAAAAGTTAGTAGAATATATTTTAGATAAATTTTTAGGAGAAAATTGAATAAAAAGTGCTGAAGGAGAAGCAATAAAAGAAAAAGATAATGGTAGAATTAAATTAATAAATTTAACAATGTGTGATATGTGTAAAATTAAAAAATATACTTGTGAATTTAGAATTTATTATTATGTCCAATTCTATAGTAATGAAAGTATACCAAGACATGTACTATAATAAGTTAGCAGGTTCGTGAGGAATATATTTTAAAATAGAATTTGAAAAATATGTTAAAGATAATGTTGGAATACCTAAAACGTTGGGATCAAGAATAAAATTTTTATTTGAAAGACTTGCATATATATGTCAACGAAGATAATTATTGAAAAAATAAGAAAAACTAACTAGAATATGTTGTGAAAATATAGAAACCCATGTATAATGAGGATGTAATCTTGAAAAAATGATTAATAAAAGGAAATATAAAAATAAAAAATTTAGAAATTTTAATAAAAAAATACATAAAACCTAGAAGAAGATATTATAATATATATATATATATCTCATATGGTCAACGGAAAAATGAAAATTATAAGAAAATTAAAAGTCAATGTAAATGTTGGAATTGTGGGGAAATAAGTCATATGATTGTGATAAAAATAAAGTTTAAATATTACAAAATGAATATTTGAAAATAAAAGATGAATTAAGTGAAATATCAGATATTGAAAAATATTATAATAAAAAAGTTTATATAAGTGAAATAGAGGATGATGGATCAAAATCTGAATAAGGAAATTAAAGAAATAGAAAATAATAATATAAATATACAAGAATATGAATAAATAGAAGGTTATAGATTAGAAGTTACATTTGATAATAATAAATTTACGAAAATACAAAAATTATCTTTAGATTTAAAAATAGAAAAATGGGAAGTTTTAGATATAATTTGAAAAAGTGAAAAGATAGCAATAAATGAATATCATAAAATTGAGAAAACTATAAATGAAAAAAAAAACGTATGAAAATCATAAATAAAATCTCTTAAAAAAAATACAGTTGAAGAACTATTAATAAAGGTTAGTGAAAAAATTAAATATGTTTATCTAGCAGGAATACAAATAATATTTAAATCGTTATTCAAAGAATGAATAGACTCATCCTTAACTATAACCTTACACGATGAAAGAATAATAAATCTAAAATATAGTCATTTAGGAACAATAGAAGGAAATCTGACATATCAAAAGATAATGTTTACATGCTACCCAAAATATTGTGTATCATTGAAAGATATAAATTTTAATGAAGTTTTAGGATTGCATTTTAAGCTACATAGAGATGATAGCATACAACAAGGTGATCAAATTATGACTATAGAATATAAAGTTTTATATACATTTACCAATTCTAATTATGAAAATATTTATTCTAATAAACCATTTATTGAAGTACATAAAGATTGTAAAGATACTATCAAAATAATAGAATCAAATAAACAAATAAGTTTAATTACAGAAGAATATGAATTTAACATAACAAAAAATAAATCTGAAATAACAGAATTAAAGAAAGAGAATGTTCTAATAATATAACATTTAAGGATGGAAATTAATTAGAAGGTCAAAAAGTCTTAGAATATCTAAAAATCAGTCAAAAGAATTTAGTAATATAAAGAAAATAAAATTTTACAGAAATGCTGGAAATATAAAAATAGAAGGATAATATTTTAATGGAAGAGAATATATAAATGGACCAAATATACTAATAGATATAAAAACTAGTGAATGTCATATAGCTTCAATTAGAAATAAAGGTCTAATAACTCATAAAATTGATCCATATAGATATATAAATTTCAATGGACAAATACATATATCAGAATTAGAAGTTAAAGTACCAATAAAAAAAGGAGGAATAAACTTTTTAGTACCATGTAATAACGATAAGAATATGGATATAAACTCTTATATACTTTTAGGAATGAGTTTTCTGAATGGATTAGAAAATTATAGTATAAAAAGAGAAGAATTATACATATTACATAATGGACAAACTATATTATGTAAAAATAACTAAATGAACAATCAGATAATTTTTTCATTAGCTGTATATGTATAAGTTACTATTGTAGAAACAAATATAACAACTTATGCCTTAATAGATACAGGGAGTGATATAATAATATTTAAAAGTTTTTTGATAAAATCATGAAATAATAATAGTAACATAAAAATGACTAGAGTCACAGGAGAAAGTACCTAAATAATAAATAGTGCTGATAAAGTTAGTATAATTTTTGGAAGTAAACAAGTTACAATAAATAAAATATATAAATATGATAAATTACGTGATATATTATTAGGAAATGACTTTATACAACAATTTCAATATTATAAACAAAATAATTATATAATAATACTATAAACACCTTGTGGGCACTTATTGGAATTTTCAAGAAAATTTAGACCTTATAGAGTTCCATCAGCCCAACGTGGTGATAAATGAAAAAAAAAATCAATCATATTTAATGAAATAAAAAATAAAAAAATATTGTATAAAAAATTCTGAAAATGGGAATAGAAATAAGTATAGAAAAAAATTATTGAACAATTAGAAAAAGTTTATAGAGAAAATTCATTATTATTTTGGAAACCAAATCACCCTAAAGCCAAACTAGAATTAACAGAAAATGTTATAATAAGAGTTAGATAAATGATGTATACTATAGAAGATACACAAAAATTCAAAAATCAGATAAAAGAATTGTTAGAACAGAAACTTATTAGACTAAGTAATAAACCTCGTAGTAGCCCAGACTTTATGGTTATGAAACAATCTGAACAGGTTAGAGGAAAAACTATAATAATTATAAATTATAAATAATTAAATAAATATACTAAATTTGATGGATATTTCTTACCAAATAAAGAAGTTTTAATAAACCTTGTAAAAGGAAAATAATATTATTCTAAATTTGACTGTAAATCAGGATTTTGGCACAAAAAAAATCGATGAAGATAGTATACAATATACTGCATTTAGTATACCTCAAGAAAAGTATGAATAGTTAGTAATGTCATTTGGATTAAAAATGCACCACAAATATATCAAAGAAAAATGGATAATATATTTAAAAAGATTAATGAATTTCTAATTGTTTATATAGATGACATACTAACATGTTCTAATAGTAAAGAAAAACATAGAAATTATTTATTACAATTCATAAATGAATGTAAAAAAGAAAGAATTATACTTTCTAAAAAGAAATCTATAATAGAAAAACAAGAAATAGATTTTTTTGAATTATCAATAGATAAAAGAGAAATAAAATTGTAGACTCATATATCTAAAAAAATAGAAAGCTTTCCAGATAAATTAGAATCCAAAGAATAAATACAAATTTTTTAAAGATGTTTAAATCATACAAAAGGATTTATTGAAAACATTTATAAGAAAATGCATAAGATACAAATTTTACTTAAAAAAACAAATACTAAATGATGGAATGAGGAACACACAAAATAGTTAAATCATTAAAATAATAATGTAAAAATTTATCAAAATTAAGATTATCAGATGAAAAAGATAATTTGATTGTTAATACCGATTTTTCAGAAAAATATTGGGCAGCAATATTAAAAACATATTTAAATGAGATTTGTAGATATTCAAGTGAAATTTTTAATCAAGCAGAAATAAATTATACCACCCATAAGAAATAATTACTAGCAATTATTAAAAAAATAAAAAAGTTCTCATTATTCTTATTATCTAAAAATTTTACTATTGATATTGATAATTCTCAAGTTCCAGAATTAGTCAGGAATAAACTACCATCAGAACCTCAATACAGAAGGCTTCATAGATGGCAAACTTATTTAGAATTTTATAATTTTGATATAGTTCGTATTAAAAGAGTTAATAATTTTCTTGCAGATTTTTTCAGTGGAAACATAGAATTTGCTAATGGATAAAGTTAGGGTCATAGAATTATACCAATCTATCCTACATATACAAAAAATGACAGATTTTCTCAAAGAAGAATCTAAAGACATAAATATTGGAGCAACACAGATCTCAAAGACATTTAACTCAAATATAAAAATATTGTTGAATATCACTACTGAGCGTCATAAAGAAGCCATATAACTCAAAAATCAAGTTGATGCTATTGCAACACAACTAAAAGATAAACTGTTTGAGACAGATATACTAAAGAGCTTAGAAATGAGTTTTCCAAATCAATACCAAATAGGGACAGTTGAAAGCAGCAATTTACCCAGACGTGACACCATACCACCAATTGATAAAAAAGGAGATTCAACACCAACTAAAAAAGTTGTGATACATAGAGATAAAAAAGATTCCAAAACCATCAGCATCATAGGCCAAGATGATACAATCCCTTTAGTTCCAAAAGAAGAAAAATATGCTAAAATAGTCAGAATTGCTTATGAAATAAAAATAAGTGATTCATATTTCATCTCTCCAAAAACTAATTTTTATCCCAAAATAATAGAAATGGAAGGAGGAGACCCTTCATTTATAAAAATTATGGCAGACTATAGATTTATGAATTTGATATATCCAGGGAAAGATTTGGTTGAAATTTCGAAATTTGATGTCATATTCATAAAAGAAGTATCAAGATTTGCCAAGGGACGAAAAATATATTTGAAATTTTATTCAATAAGTCCTGAATATAATGGAATTGTTTATTATTCAATTGAATGCATAACCTCAATTGGATATGTTGCAGCCAACTTTCAAATAGATGTGGTGGGAAATGATAGAAAAGTTCCAACATTGACAAAGTCATGGATCAGACACATAAGAGCAATTGGAATTAAAGTTATATACAATATTGCTAAAAATTTGTTTGATAAAAAATTCTCATGCTTGTGTCAATATGAAAACTAGATGCTGATATCAAATGGAGGACATGGAAAATCAAAAATCTTACAGGACTACATTACAAAATTCGAAATACATTAATTTCCAGGATGTCCCACTACTATAAATGAATTCCGCCGGCTAAGGGGTGACCCAATTGCACGTGAAGACATAAAAGATAGATGACAATAATAGAGAAAGATGATCTTTGGATAAAAAGTTGAAAAAGCATGTGGAGATATAGAAAAAGGAGGACAATATTAGAAGCTCCTTTAATAAAAATCAAATGCTGCATGTGAAGATGTAAGTGCAAGGAGGACAATAATAGAAAGGTAAGTGTGTCTTTGCTGATGTACTGAATGATATAATATATTAATAATAGAGTCTCATATATTTGTATAAATAGAGGCATCTCGAATTGTAATCAATAGCCACTCTTAATCCATCCTTAGTTTGAAAAATCAATTTTTCTGGAAATCCTTGTGTACAAATCAATTTTTCTGGAAATCCTTGTGTACCGACTAGAAATCTTGTATAAATTATGATAGAAATAAAATTTCAATATTTTGATATCAATATGAGTTTCTAAATCCTTATTCCCATAAATTATTGAAGGGTCTAATAGAAAGTTTTTTTTTTTAATTTTATTTTAGCAAAAAGAGAATTTTTCTTTAACAGAAGTCTAAAATTTTATTCTTTAAAATTGATACAATGAGAGTAAGAAGTTGAAATAGTAAACATTCCGTGAAGGCATGAGGCCGTTAAAGGAAGCAATTTACACATTCAGAACTCAAATATCACTCGATTCTAAGAATAAAGATCCAAATCAAAACTAAGGTAAAACTATTAAATTTTTGCTTAAATTAGAATGAATATTTTTATATTTTAGAGAATCATAAGGATTAATTGCATGATTTAATGATTATTTGTATTAATGCCAGGATATAAAATTGAAGGATTAGATAATTTGTTAGAAAAAATGTTAGAAGAAATAAAAAATATTATTTCTCAATTAAAAAATATGAAAGCATCTTCTGAAAAATATAATATATTTAATGAAAAATGTAAACAGCATGTTACAAATTTTTCCAATCTACTTGATCAAAGAATGAATTTATATGCTAAAATTCAAAATAGAATAAATATAAGATAAAATAGTTTAAAATATTAAGATATATGTTGCAATATAGAAAAAATCATTTCACTAAGGGTAATATAGACTTTTCCATGAAAATGAATAGACCAAATAGAAAAAGCCCCCAGCTACTGAGGACAGTTATTACCCTACAGACTAGATTAACCTATCTATCTCGCTGAAAATACTCGTTTAAGTAAAACTTGAAGCAAATCTTAAGACATACACAAAAAAATAAAAAATAAAAATCATTATGCTACTTTGCTTAAAAAGAAAACAAAATTAAAAAGGCAACTGTCAATAAAATAAAACCCTAAATTATTGTAGCTGCAAAATTTAACAGATACAAACGGAGTGTTCCACCGAAAAAAACAAGGTGGGGTAACAGGCAAACTACTTTTCAAGAACAAAACCAAAATTAGCCAATTCTTATTATTAAAAAAGAAACTCTTTACAACAGTTATAGCTCACCGCGGAAATGGGGGAAGTCTAGGTGAACTCGGGAAGGGTTCAATGCCAACTAGGATTGCAGGAGCTAAGTTCCACAAAAGCTCTGGAAGTTTCATCCTTTTCCATTGATCCCCGATTTGGAGAATCACCTGAGTTTCTCCCTGGACTAATTATCGTACTTTCTTCAAGAGTAGACATTAGTGAAATTGCGTCGTTGTACTCATCATTACATCTAGCCTCCACATCACTTCGCAGATTCCGCACAGCTAAAGAATCCACAACAGGAAGGTACGCCAGTACACAGATACCAACCCCCAGACATGATAGAAAAACGAAAAAACCCATAAATGCAATGGCGTCAAACAAAAGATTTTCTGGCTCAGGTAGGACCGATAGACCAAGAAGAAGCACTCTTAAGATAAAAAGAACTGAAACAGAAAAGACTAATGTGTACACTCGCTTCTTCAAACCCTTATTGATGACCAAATGAAGAATTTGCCTCCCGATCCAGAACAAGTATGTAGTCAGTACAGTGCCAAAAAGACCGAGGATGATACTACTCAACAGAGGGTAAGTGCAGATGGTAACATTGTTATTGTTCTTTGTCTTAGAAAAAGCTGTGTTGAAGAAATATGGCGGCAGTTTGTTCATGTAACTGTTTTTGCTATACTTCGGCTCAACTAGTATAACTACAAGCTGAAGAATGAACATCGGGAGACAAAAAAGAATTATACAACCGGCTGTTCTTGCATTCGACTTCCGGTTTAGTGTCCCAGACCTCTGTAATGATGCACGAAGAAGAAATACCAGGGTGAGAAAAAGGCATGGTTCTGCAATCCCCAGGTTTGAAATGATGTAGCATTTGCAAATAGATTCCTGCCATTTTGAGTTGAGGGCATCCAAGATTCTTCCTTCACGTCTCAATAGATTCAACCTAATAATCTCCCATACACCCCACCAGATTGCAAAAGAGATCAATGCAATTCTGATAATCCAAGGACCACTAAA